TCCACATTTCATGAGGTTCGTCCGTGAGCGCCTCAATGAGCTATTTGATGATCGCTGGATCGGCAGACTAGGACCACACGCTTGGCCACCTCGCTCACCAGATCTGACCCCGTTAGACTTCTTTTTGTGGGGTATGTGAAAGAAAGGGTTTTTAATCGTGAGTGTGATAGTGCTGACGAAATGCGCCAAAGGATCGTGGATGCTTTCGATAAACTACGTACGGACTGTACCCAAATCTACCTTGAAATGAATGGAGCACAATTTGAGCCGCATCTCATAAGACCACGGAGGATTTAGAGTGGTAAGCTGTTTCATAACTATTTTTTTTAAATAACTTAGTACTAGACTAATCTGAATAGGTACATAACTGAACACATGAGAATAATAAACATACCTACACGATGAATAAAAACGCATGATGGAGTCACAGTCACCTTGGTTACATTTCATTTAAGTATTTTTTCATTAGCGGGGAATCGAACAAGTTATTTGGGTTATTTAACCTGTAAATTCGGATTAAAGTGGCTACGTGGAGACAAGCACAGTGGCAAAATAGTAGGTTAAGTAGATAAGTTAGGTATTTAGACAAGTGTTGTAAATTATTAGGTATTGTGGTATGGCCCGCTAGTTGCAGGCTGCGCGAATTTGCGTACCCGCGTACATTGACCTTTAGTCAGGTGATATCAATTCAGTCATTCCACTGCTGGTTTTATGTTTCAGTATTTTCATGATATTTTTTATGAAATTATCGTTTCATTTAGCTGTACTAACATGATGGCGCATGAATAAAGCTAATAAAACGTTGTAAAAAGATGATTTTTTTTTCATCAGGATCGAATTTATTTGTGACCCATGATCAAAGGTATACTTGGTGTTGTCGCCTATCTTAGTTTTCGGGAGCATTCCAAAAACACCCTGTATAACTTAATCTACTTTTTTTCATAGAATATAGAATAAGGGTGATAAACGAGCACGCAGTCCACCTGATGGTAAGTGGTTGCTCTAGCCCATAGACATCTACATCTATCTTCATTTGCGAATTAAAATGCAGATGCGTTGTCAGCCGTGAGGACTAAGATAGAATGCCTCTTTTCCAGTAAAATTGGTTTCCAGTTCTCTACACTCACTGCTATTTTACGCTGGTATTCTATTCTGTGAGAGCGTGGTCCTTCCCTGGTCGAGACAACCATTTCGTGCTACAACTATACTAGCTCGTTAGGTAAGAATAGGTTGTTATGTTCACATGTTAACGCATGTGAAGTCAATAATAGGTATCCACAATTTGTATTACTATTAGAGCACTAATTTCATTTTCTTATCAATAAGTATTCTGTGATCTAGTCTGAGGGATATAAAAAGCTCGTATATATCAGGCTATGAACCATTTAAATGAAGCATGAGTTGAAAAATGCAACTTGAGTTGGATATTTATTAAAATCAATCCATTGTGGTTTACAGCTGGACTATGAGTTTTTCTCATTTTAGCCCATGATTCATCATATAAGAACAATTGTAAGATGAAGCTTTTCATTGTTAATTATTTTATATATTTTTTGTTATCCGTTTATTTTGTAACTCTCATCATGGCTAATGGCTTCTGAAGTGGCAATGGGCCGGCCATTTAGCTCAAAGAACCGACAACCGATGGCAAAGAAAGGTTCTCGAGTGGCAGCCTCTTACCGACAAGCAAAGTGTAGGGCGTCGCCCCACTAGATAGAGTGACGGCCTGGTAAGAAATAGAGGAATTCAATGGATGCAGGTGGCTTGTGACCGTGCTTTGTGGCATTCCTTGGAGGTCTATGTTCAGCAGGACTTATGATGTGCTGCTGTGATGATGATGATGATCTGTTTATAATTATAACTAAATTTTGGATGTGGAGTTGAAGGTTTTTAAAAACTACAATTATGTCTCAATGATGTTTATTACTATTACATTACAATAAGAGCTCTACTAACTTCCTCAACTAGCTGATTACATTACTATGATGAGGAATTGAATAATTATAAATTTAAATGAAATCTTTCATATGGTAGTCAAATAAATCTGTTTACTATAATTATAACACCTTGCTTTGACTAGATATAATAATTAGCAATGGAGTTAGCGTCTTCTGTAACAATATACTTCATAACATATTTACTAGTAATATAATAGGTATCAAAACTTTGTACAATTTATGGTCAACGTGTTGTGATATTATGGCTACATGCAAATATCAGAATATAAGAATCATACTCAATAATTTAAAAACAACAATGCAAATTAATTTACAATTTTTATTATGACTAAAATTACAATGTATATAAATAATAATTCCTAGATATATCATCAACTTTTGGAACTTTCCGCATTTTTCTTGTGCTTTTCAATACAGTTTCGGAAATCGTTTACCTCATTCTGGCACCTTCTCCAGTCCTTTGTAGTAGCTATGCATTCCTGAGAAATTACATAAATACATACAATTAAATACATGCCTATAAAAATAAGGTCTATAGATATGGATAATAATTAGTGCATGTCAAATCATTAAATCCAAATCACTTGAGGAAGAGAGGAAATGAACATAAACAACACTAAGGTCATATGCATTGTCACCTCTTAACACTAAGATGGAATGCCTCACAAACTGTAATTTTACTAGCTGGCTCTCTATATCCTTCAGTTCAGACTGGAACATATAAGTGTAAGCTCTCTTATTTGGCAGCACAAATAAAACGTTGGTACATACGTATAGTACGTACATATAGTAGTTTATCACCTTTTATTTATATATATTTTAAAATAAAAATTTACAAAAAATATAATTAGATGAAAAGTGTATATGCAAGTCAGTACAATATATTCAGATAATTACTTGAACTTTATAATGCAGTTCTAAACAGCCGCTTTTCTTTAACATAAATTCAACAGGATCTTCGTCGCTCTCTGCAAGTTTTTTACGCGTTCGTATAGTCATACTGTTGTATTTATATTCACCAAGAACTAAAAAGCACTATGGTATATTTATTTTTAAAATATAACCAACTTTTTTGTAACCGAATCCTTCACCTGTACAACTTTAATTTGTGCCTTCCAGTGTTACCAGATGAGACAAATCCGCCTAAGGGTATTAGTGTTCTGTGAGACAAATGATATTACAGTCTCAGATGAAGTAAAAAAAAGGTAGATACTGCGCGGCCATTCTTATTGGTGAAGCCAAAAAACTCCGCTCCTTTAAGTAAACACACGCGTTCACGCACACACATGCATCAAACTACGCCAAAGAGTATAAGTATAATTGTCCTATAAACTACGCTCATTTCTCATCAGTACCTCTAAACGCGTAGTGTTTCTATATAGTTTGTGACCTCTAGGGACGTCGTGTAATAAATTTGCCTACAAAATGCCATCCTGTGTAATTAAATGGTGCAAAAACAATACTAAAGTGAACAAAAAGTCTGAAGGAATATCGTTTCACACGTAAGCACTCATTTAACTATATTTTATTTTGTCATTCCAACACAATTTTAAAGGTTATTCGAAGCACAAAATGTCAACGTTCCGAAATTACGTAACGGTAGAATGTTGCCAGTTTTTCTTATTTCGAAATTTTCGAATAGTCCAATATTCGGGTATTTTAGGTTAGAAGTATATGTAGTCAACATATTTTTTTTTTAATTACGTGTTATTATGTTACATCAAATTCAAGTCAAGGTAAATATTTAATTTTTTAACTCGCTGATGTTTTTTTTTTTAATTCTTGAGTACTATAGAATCCATTTAATTATCAAAAACTATTTATGATTTTAGGCTTCCAACGAATATTTTAATAAGAGATGAATGGGTAGCTGCTATAAGACTAAGCCGAAATGAACCACAATGGCAGCCATCCTCTTCTAGTGTGGTTTGTTCAGATCATTTTGATAAGACTGTTTTGTACGACACAAAACGTGGACTTCGCCGAGTTCTTAGAACAGGATATGCAAAAAAGGTAATTTTAACCGACTTCAAATAAATAAGGGGATCCTTTTTTCTTCTCGTATATGTTATATAATAATTATGTGTGTTTGCGATTTTCTCAGTATACAGTATATCTTTTGTTATTAACTACATACTTGTTTATAATTATGTATTTAGATTTTTCGACAGTTTTATTTCTATTGCAGAAACTATTTCCGTCTTCCAATGCAGTTCTCAATGATATATTATCGCCAAGTATATCCACTCCATTTGTTCCTGTAAGTATGTAGCAATCAGGCGCATAACGTTTTTGACAGATGTAACAACCACATTCCATAACGAATATTGTATTTGTTGTAGGACTTACCAGTCTTGCCAAGTGTGGACAACGACAACAACTGCAATATATTAGTATTGCCAAGTACATCTTCTGCAGCTGTTGTTGTGAGTATCAAACAGTGCAAATTTACGTAATATACTTTTTAATGTCAAATCTAATGTATTTCTTTATCATTAACGAATATTGCATTTCGACACCTCCATGCAATAACATCGTAACTCATTTTTTGCCATAAATTACATTACAATGATATTGCTATGTAAAAAAAATATACAATTTTTCTGTACAATCGTTGTAATTCTGTTCCCATTAGTTTTTGAAATATACAAATGTCAAAGTATTGTAACATAACAAAAAAGTATTTTTTTTCAACAATATCGCTGCAACTTGATTTACAATTTATAGAAAATATTATGAGTAGCATGTCAATAAAATACAATAACATTGTAATATTATATACAATCTTTGTACATGACAAAATTCGGGTTTATGATCATAAAACGTAATGTTACTGCATTGTATGTTGATTTACAATGTTGTTGCGCGGATTATTACGATAGTTTTTATCGTGTTATGACAAGTTATGACGAATTGCGATGTTGTCGTCTGGCAGTTTACTCGCACTCCTAGAAGTTTAGTGTTGTTGTGTGGTTTAGTATAAAGAAGTGAGAAGTGTACATGGTGACTATTTTGGCTTTTATAGAGTAAAACCATAGTAAAATGAAGCGTAGCCAAAATATTTTAAATTTGGCATTATCATTAAGTGGAATTTCAACAGGTAAGTTGTATTTTAATGTAAATTGTCAGCATTAGCAATAAATACGTATTGGCAAGCGCATCGGAGCCGTTCAGTCAGTTTAAATTAAAGAGGTACCGAGTTAAAGTTGTACCGAGTAACCGAATACAGAATTTATTCGGATTTGTTATTCATTACAGAGTCGAGTACTTTGTCGAGTTACTCGGTTTAGGTTTATGCAGGTTTGGTGCGAAAATACGTTTATACGTGATCGCTTGCGCATGTGCATTGCACTCCGACGCTCCTTGCCAGATGTAAATGCTTGCTAAAGTGAACTTTGTTATAATCGGTACTTAACATTTTAGATCAAGAAGAAACTTCGACTTCGTCCAAGGCAGATGATCATGCTACCCAGAAAATTACTCTACCACAAGATAATAGGTATTTTCTCGAACATGGTGAAGACTTACTTTCATTCAAAAATAATATACGGGAAAATGCGCTGGTAAATTACTATCCAGATTCCTACTCCTCATCTAGTAAAAAAGAACCATTTTCTCCTGACGTTTCGGAATATTTCCCTTACGACCAAGATGATTCTACAAATAGTTCTCAACATTCTTCACAACATAATATTCCTTTACAAGAGATACCAACAGCTACAAACATACCTGAAAATATTACCACTCCTGAAGGGACAGCAAGAAAAGTGAAAAGGACTGTTCCGAAGAAAGCTACTCCGGGTAGAAAACGAAATCATAATCGAGAAAACTGGAAACGCAACGTAAGTAAGCGAAAGAAAAATTCGGGCGAGGAATATTTAAACAGAAGAGGAATCTTAGTTCCAAAGAAAGCTATGAAGAGTGGCTGTAATAATACGTGTACTAAAAAGTGCAAAGAAAGATTAATGGAAACGACAAGACATGCCATATTTAAAGATTTTTGGGGTTTGGGCGACCACTCAAGACAAGCTGATTTTGTTTCTAGATTTGTAGATAGAGTTCCACGAAAACAAATAACAGCATCAGTTATTGGACAGTCACGGCGCCACTGGTCTTTTCAATATTATTTATATGAAAACGGCGACAGAAAAAGGGTCTGCAAAAAAATGTTTCTTGATACTCTGTGTATAAGTGATATGTGGCTACAAACTATTTACAAGAAAATGGACAAAGAAGGCACTGGGCTAATAGCAGGAGATTTGAGGGGGCGACATAATAATCGGAAAAATGTGATACCAAATGAAGTCAAAGAATCTGTTAGAAATCACATTTCATTAATACCTATAGTGGATTCACATTATGTAAGAAAAAGGACATCCAAACTGTACTTTGAAGAAACTTTAACATACCCTGCATTGTACAGGCTTTACGTTGATTGGATGAAAGAAAATCGTCCGTTAGAACAAGTGGCAAATTCTAGGCAATATAAGGACATTTTTTATAACGAATATAATATTGAATTCTATAAGCCCAAGAAAGATCTTTGTATTCTTTGCGACAGATATAAGAGAGGATCTGAAAAAGAAAAAGATGACATGAAGCTAGAGTACACCTTGCATATTGCGAACAAAACAGTGGTAAGAGAGGTGAAAGAGACTTATAAGTTTCAGTCAAAACAATCTGACATTATAGTAACAGCTGCTTACGACTTACAGAAAGTATTGACTACACCTCAATCAGAAGTTGCGCTGTTTTACTACAAAAGGAAGTTTGCTGTATACAATTTTACTATATATGATATAGGAAAGGCCAAAGGATATTCGTACGTCTGGAATGAGACAATAGGCAAGAAAGGATCCTCAGAAATTAGTAGCGCTGTGTTTCTTTTTATTAAACAGAAATATGAAGAAGGGTTTCGTATATTTAATTTTTTTTCTGATTGCTGTGGCGGACAAAACCGCAATCGCATAATAATAGCTATGTATTCCCATGCATGTAAAATATTTGGTATAACGATTACACATAACTATTTTGAAGTAGGGCATTCGCAATCTGAAGGGGATGCTATGCACGCGTTAATAGAGCGTCGGAAGAAAAATCAGATTATTTTTGTACCAGAGCAATGGATCACTCTGATCAGATGTGCTAAAACTACGGGGATCCCTTATGATGTTACTGAATTAGATCAAACCCTAATACTTGATTATTAAAGCCTCCTAAAGAAAAAACTAAACTGGGACTGGAATAGTACTGGAAAAAAGATGTCTTGGACTAAAATACAACATATTAAAATAGAAAACGAAAACCCTGACATAATATACTTTCAATATGAATATCTCAGTGATCAGTACTTATCTATCAACCTTGCTGTGAAACCTACTACACGCATTACACGAACAAAAAGAGCACAAGAGTCAATTCAGTGTGAACAATCAAACGACGAAGAAAGTATTCCTTTATTGTATAACAAAGTGCTCCCAATATCAACAGCAAAGTATAAGGACCTTGTAAGTTTGTGTAAATGTAAGGCGATACCAGATATTTATCACAATTTCTATTTTAATCTTCCACATTCCACTCAAGTAGCTGAAGACAACGGTAGTGATGATGAAAATTAATAGTTTTATAAAGTTAATTTCCATTTTTTTTTTTTGTTTTTGAGAAAGAAGATTTTTTTGTTCAAAGAATTAACAGTTTTATAAAATCGGAAAAGAAAGAGATATTTTATGATTAAAAAAAACTACTTACTGTCATAATTATAAGTCGGATAATGATGCTCGTATCCAGTGAAGTTTTCTAATTTGGTGTCAATAAATATTTTAATAGTACGAAATTGCTTTTTTATCCTTCAAGTCAATAAAACTTTGTCATAATAGTTCGTAAGAAAATAGATTTATTACACGTTACATTATGAGATGATTCTTTACAGATTCATTCATGTTTGCATTAAAAAAAACTTAAATATTACTATGAAGAATCATTTTAGGTAACATAACACCTTAGAGTTACAATTATCTGGAACAAAAATAAAATTAACTTACAAAAATCTAAATTGTATCTCAGACATACGATGCTTGTCCTCGTAACTTATATGATATTTCAATGTATTGTTTTTCACGTAAGTCATGAAAAACCATGAAATCAACTTTTCTTTTACAACTTCTTTTACATAAAAATAGTGCACCTAAATAATATTAGATAGTGACAGCTTCAAAGATTGTACGGGCAGTTTTGAGCGTGGTACATTTTTTTAAACTTTAAATTCTGTCTCCTAAACAAACATAAAAAATTAATTACGATTTTATTGCATGGAGGTGTCGATTTGTTGTAGGACTTACCAGTCTCGCCTAGTGTGGTCGTCGACAGTAACAGCATTGTATTGCCAAGTACATCTTCTGCAGCTGTTGTTGTGAGTACCAGACAGTGCACAATTATGTTTTTTAATCATTAGAAATACTTTTGAGTAAATAGTATGTTTTGTTCTAGTACCTACTGGATAAGCCTAAAGTAGACGTTGATCAAGAGTCAATATTTGGTACACCCAGAAAACATAAAATGACAAAAAAGTTGAAAAAACAGGAACTAACTTTAAAAAGAAAAAGAAATCAAATTAAATCTTTACAGCAAAAAGTCAGACGCCTCAAAAACAGGAACTCGTCCCTCAAAGAAATTATCAATTACTTAAAAACTCATAATTTCCGATTTATATTATTCATTAAATCAAAACATGGCGATAGTAGATTTATTTAATAATTTTAATCGAAAAAAGGCTAAGAAAAGCATTAAATATATCACCGGCACTTAAAAAATTTTGTCTAACGCTTAACTATTACTCTCCAAAGGCTTACGAATACGTTAGAAATACATTTAATACATGTCTGCCACATCAAAGCACGTTATCTAGGTGGTATGGGTGCATTAATGGGAAACCGGGATTCACAGAGGAGTCATTCCAGGCCTTAAAAGCCAAATCACAAGTCAGTGAACATCGCATAGTATGTTCATTGGTGTTTGATGAAATGGCCATTAGGGCACAAAAAATCTGGGATGGCAAAAAGTATATAGGTTTGGTGGATATGGGAACAGGAGTAGATGAGTCAGCTCCTTTAGCTACCCAAGCGTTAGTTTTTCTTTTAGTTCCATCGATTTAAAATCCCTTTAGGCTACTTTTTAATTAACAGTATATCAGGAGAACAAAAAGCAAACCTTATCAAACTGTCTCTTATCAAGTGTTCTGAAGTTAATGTAGATGTCGTTTCAATAACATTTGACGGACATTCTACAAACTTTACAGCCATTGAGTTACTTGGATGCAAATTTGCAGATACAGCAGATGTCAAAACGACATTTAAGCATCCTGCAAATGACTCCGAAGTTGCTTGTTTTGTAGATCCCAGCCATGTCATTAAACTGGTAAGAAACCAATTTGAATCTAAAAGAATTTGTGGACGAAAATAATAAAACTGTAGCGTGGGAGTTCTTAGTACAATTGAATTAAATACAAACCAAAGCAGGAATTCATTTAGGTAATAAGTTGACAAAACGACATATTAATTTTCAAAACCAAATTATGAAGGTTAAACTTGCCACACAGGTACTTAGTAGGAGTGTAGCTACGGCTCTAAAGTTATGCAGAGAAGATCTTAAACTTCCTGACTTTGCCGATGTTGAAGCAATTTGTACAAATTATGAATGACATGTTTGACGTATTTAATTCTAAATCTATGAAACACTTCGGGTTGCAAAAACCGCTTCATTTAGAAAATAAAGATTTAGTTTTTACATTCTTAGAGCAATTAAAAAGGTATGTATTGAATCTCAAAGTCAAATCGGTTAACAAGCGCAAAGTTATGAGGGACGGCCGTCCTACTTATGTAATTACCCGATATTACAAGCCAGTGCTTGATGCAAAATGTAAAAGAGGTTTTTTGGGTATTGTAATAAACATAGAAAGTTTAAAAATTATTTATCATAAATTGATAGAAAGTGAAAAAGTACTTCTTTACATTCCGGTCTACAAGATTAGCCAGGACCACTTAGAAATTATCTTTTCTTCTATTAGGACGCAAGGTGGGTTTAACGACAACCCAAACGATTTCCCTTTTGAGCCGCGTCTACGTGCTGTTTTCGAGAGTCATTACGAATCGTCTCGCGCGCAGACTTAACGGCTTCCAGCCTCCCGAACAAGCCGGTTTCCGAAAAGGCTTTAGCACCATAGACCACATACATACCCTTCGGCAAATTGTACAAAAGTCAGAGGAGTACAATTTGCCACTATGTCTGGCGTATGTGGACTATGAGAAAGCCTTTGATTCCGTGGAAATTTGGGCGGTGCTGCAGTCCCTTCAGCGGTGCCAAGTTGACTGTCGGTATATCGAAGTGCTGAAGTGTTTGTACAGTAGGGCTACGATGGCTATCCGAGTACAGAACCAGAGTACGAAACCTATCCAATTGCAGAAAGGTGTAAGACAGGGTGACGTCATATCCCCGAAACTCTTCACCGCTGCATTGGAAGACGTTTTCAAGCTTCTGGACTGGAAAGGATACGGTATCAACATCAATGGCGAGTACATCACTCACCTTCGATTTGCCGACGATATAGTCCTTATGGCAGAATCGCTGGAGGACCTAATCACTATGCTCAATGACCTCAATAGTGCTTCCCAACGGCCTATCCGTATAATGATAATGATGATGAACAACTGATATTGGTTGTTAGGCGATCGATATCTATGTCGAGACTGCAGGCACTGGACTGTAACTAAACTACCAACACAATGTCAGTTTTATTCGCAAGAATAGTTCCATGTATGATAATAACCCCAACTCAATAGAGCCTGGCGCAATTATTTACGAGCTTCCGGCGAGTACTGATAACGACGAGACCATATTTCATATTAAGCTTCTGGTGTTGGATCCTGGCTACTGAGCTGTGTCTGTGCAAATACTCTGGGTTACAAAGCATAAATCGGAGATAACAAGTGATTCGCCAGGATGGAACAATTCGGTAGATGTCGACGGTGTCATCCTTTATCACGTATCTCAGATAATTGGTCATAAAAACCTGATCCAATATCGCAGAGACAAACCCCCCAATAAGGTCACTGGAACGTAGTAGTGGAGGGAGGCAATAGTGCCTACAAAGGCTCATGTAAGCCTTGTAGAACCTCTCGTGGAGCTAAGATATTTCCTAAAACTTTTTCCGGTTGAACGTTAGGGCGACTAGAGCGGCCTCGCTGACTTCTACACTTTAAACGACTTTTTATCTATGGAAAGTTACAAAAATCTTCATGAATGGTACATTAGCCGGCTCTATATTAAAAAACTCGTTTATGGGTTGGTAAAAATTCTATGCCAAGTAACATATACCATTGAAAAAAACAAAAACAACAAGCGTTGTGCCAAATTTTGTCAGTAGTACTGTGAGTTCTGCATTTAAAATGTAAGTAATAATGTGTTTATTATAGTTTTGTACTGGTGTTATAGATGAAAATAATCCTCAAGATGATTTCTTTTCGTATATCTACAAGTTTTATGAATCAAAGTCTGTAATGATGTTTTTATATATTATGATGAATTCAACATGCGAAAACTTCGGCTTTGTGTGCCGGTTTTTGTTAAGTTTTTGTATTATATATTATTAATTTTAAAGAAATATAATTAACTAACATAATTAATTTCTGCATTTCATTAGCTTTCTGTAAGTGATTTTTATTCTGATATAGGTAAAGAACTTTCTCCGTGGTAACGGTTTTAGTCGAATTGGTCGCGATCGGACCGTATAAAAATCGCGACGAGCGTCGCCGGGACAAAAGAGTAACCCGTCTAGCACGTTTCTATCTAGGTAGGCTTAACAGTATGTTAGGTCGACATAGTAAAATGTCTCTAAGAAATAAGCGAACCCTTTATAAGGTTTGTATACGACCGGTAATGTCTTACGCGGCCCCTATATTTGCACACGCTAATTCTAAAATTATAAATGAACTTCAAACAGTCCAATCGTCGAGTTACGAACGCACCTTGGTACGTCCGTAATGCCGACCTCCATAGGGATTTAGAAATCCCAACAATACAACAATTTATTAAAAAACTCTCTGAAAACTTCTTCAAAGTCTCAGAGTCTAATTCAAACACACTTATTCGTGAGGCAGCTAATTATGCAGCCCCACTCCCCTCTCGCTATTGCGTCCGCAGGCCGAGGAACTCCCTCTCGAACCCGCCTAACAAACTGTCAAACGACTTGAACTGCCTCCTGGCGGCTCAGTCAAATTCATAATTAATTTTCATAATTAATTTACATTCATAATTAAATTGCCTTCGTAGGCACTCCCTCAGCGGCTTATAGCCGCCTGCGCCCTATTTTTCCAAAAGAGGGTCGCTTTCGATACGGCATAAGAAGCTTTAAACAGCTGGTTGCCAGTCCCCAAAGGCGGTTTTTAGGGGGTATCACTTAGGCTCCCCGGTAGGCAGTGAGTCCCCCGTAGCCACGATGGATAGCCTATCGTGGTATGCGTAATGCATTTTCCGCCTCCCTACGTAAAGGGTAGCCCTTTTCCAATTGCTTTGGGCGCAAAAAAAAAAAGCCGGGACGTTCAACTCCGTTCAAGGCTATTGTCGC